AGTATGTTAGCCAACTCAGGTTTACCTCTATTTCTCTGGACCGAGGCCTTAAAAACAGCCGTTCATATACTCAATAGGGTTCCTTCTAAAGCTGTCCCTAAAACTCCTTATGAACTCTGGACAGGAAGGAAACCGAGTCTAAGATATATGAAAGTATGGGGTTGTCTTGCCGAAGCTAAACTTTATAATCCCTTCTTGAAGAAACTCGACATGAAAACTGTAACTTGCTACTTCATTGGTTATCCTTCTCACTCAAAGGGTTACAGATTTTATTGTCCTTCCCACGTCACTCGCATTGTGGAAACCAAAGATGCTCATTTCCTTGAAGATTTTAAGGTCAGTGGGAGCAGTGAAAATCCTTATGATGAATTGCTAGAAGTACAAGACGCGGGGGGGGAGAGACTTGTCGATTACTTTACCTCCAATTACTCCTCTTGTACTCAATGCCAATCCGCAGGATACTGCACCTCCTCCTACTCCAAATGCACCTGGAAATGAAGACACCTCAAATGATCACCATCAAGCCAATGCTCAACCCGAAAATTTGCTCAGGAGGTCATCTAGGTCTAAAAGGCCTACTAACTTTGATGATTATGTTACCTACTTGACTGAAGCAGAAATGGATGCTGGAAAGTTTAATGATCCTACCTCTTATAATGAAGCCATTAACAGTGATCAGTCTTCTGAATGGAATAAAGCCATGATTGAAGAGCTTGACTCCATGAAGAAAAATGATGTTTGGGATTTGGTTGAATTACCCAACGGTGTAAAACCCGTAGGATGTAAATGGGTCTTCAAAACAAAACTAGACCCGAATGGAAACATTGAACGCTACAAAGCGAGATTGGTTGCAAAGGGCTACACTCAGAAAGAGGGAATTGACTATCAAGAGACCTTTTCTCCTGTCTCTCGAAAGGATTCCTTAAGGATCGTTATGGCCCTTGTAGCTCACTTTGACTTAGAGCTACATCAGATGGATGTCAAAACCGCTTTCCTTAATGGCGATTTGGATGAAGAAGTGTTCATGAAACAACCCGAAGGATTC